AAATCCTTGCAACTTGGACCCACTGGGCTACCTTGTCCGAGGGTCCCTTCCGTGGGTCGGCTGCGACATCGAGACACCCAAACAAAGAACCACCCTGATTCCTGAACTCAATCTTACTCTTCTTGGAGGTTATAATACACACAAATAAGATGCTACCCACATGGCGTCCTATTTGCCTTGCTGGGTGTCCATCGGAGCTGAGGGCAGTGTATACTCCAAACCACAACCTTGTACTAACAAAAAATCCTAAACCCTATAGAGCCGCTTCCGTTTTCTTTTCTCAGTATCCCCATAAAGCCCTTATATGCTATGGTAATTCCATTTTGTTCTCCATTATGCCCATTTGATCCGCATATACTGTAGTACTTTCCATTGTCTTTCCCATTATCCCGTACCCCTAGACCCTAAAACCATGACGTCAGGCCCAGCCGCTGGCAAGGGCATCCAGCAAGCAGGAGTGAGACAGCAACATCTCGACAAAGTCAGCGGACCTGGACGTTTACGGTGTTTAGGGTTAAAGTTTTATGGTTTAGGGTCTAGGGCTGAGGGTCAAAGGTTTAGGGTTTAGGGGACGGCACGCTCGCTTCATGGCCTTAAGCTTAAGTTTAGGGTCCAGGGTCTAGAGTTGAGGGTTTCAGGCTGCAACTGGCGATTTTGTGCTCATTTCAAATCTTTAAACACATTTGGCAAAATCGCGACTATCTATATATATATATATACTAGCGTTCCAGGTGAGGTTAGGTGATCTCGACATAATTTGCTCAGCGTAACTGCCAATGCCGCTGCTGCTGCTACTACTCCATTCAGTGCTCTTTGTGCGTTTCCTCCTCCTCGTCTTCTTCTGCTGCTCCTACCACGACGACGACGACTCCTGCTGCACCTCCTCCTCCTGCTGCTGCAGCACAAGGACGAGGACAAGCACACGGCGACTATGAGGACGCGGACGAGGACAGCAGTATTGGGGGCATCTGGGTTGGGGGGCTGTGGTGCGTAAGACTTGCAGCACGAGGTTGAGGCTGAGGCAGCCAAGGATTTGGCAGGGCTGAAGAAGGCTCTTAGCAGCGGACTTTCTAAAGGTATCTATGCAGTAAGAAAAGGCCCTGCATCCTCAAGACCACTGCTGGTATCTTGCTGGTTGTTAGAAAGAAATGAAAATGGAACACACTATGTGAAGGGGAGTATTCTTAGGGGCTATTGTAGGGCTCCATTCCTCCATTCCACGCTCACAACCAGTCAGCTGTTAGACATAGAAGTTGAAGCTGTGCTCAGTAGAAATAAGACTCCAACACCCGTGGCGATCAGAGCTGCAATCAGCGCAAAACCATGCACCGACCACTGCAAGAGAAAAGTAGGGGTAACAGCACCAACCATCCTAATCCTCCCCCTCCTCGGCATCAGCTTCATCATCCCCGTCATTATCAGTAATTATGGTCATCATCGCAATGATCATCACCATTACCACCATTACCAGCGGTAGCGGCGGCCGCGGCCGCGGCCACATCACAACAATGAGAAGAAGTGTTTAATAGTAGTGATATTCATGTCAGTAACTTCACCCGTCGCGCCTTTGTCCATATGGTTGCCTCGGCTTGCAAAGGTACAAGGGGGGCAGAAGTAAAGACGCACAGCAGCCCACGGGCCTCCGGGAGAATATCCAATCATGGCTCTAATGTATAGAAGGTGCTCAGCAAGGGAACTATTTGCTGAGGTCTATGACTGGGACACCTTCTTCTAGACTTGGTTTCGCAGGGGGGCTTTATTTTAGGGGTTGGGGAGTACCTAAACCCTCTCATTTTTCCGATTATATAAAAGCCAAACAATTGAATCTCTTAAAAAGGAAGCTTGGAACCTTCTCATAGCTAGTGCAAGCTCGTCTGAGTAAAACCCTCGCTGAAGAAGTCCTCGTAGCACATCGAAGAATGCAAGTCCCACACCAAGAGCCCCAAGGCATGAACGAGCACTGGCGAGCAGCCACAAATTGCGAGGAACTGTTACACCAAGCTGGGTATCTTGCGAAAAATAAGTTATCGATAAGAGGTGCTGGTGCTTGTGCCGGGGGAATATGGCTTATATCGTTGGTTATGACTTGAGTGCTTACCTACCTAACCTAAACTCTGAATACACTTCTCACCTTCATCTTGAGAGGATTCGTCCACTGTGAAAGTCCCCGTATGAGCTACAGTCAGTGTTTCCCAGACAAGGGCTTTAGGGTTTAGGGTGTAGGTAGGGCTGACTATATTTCCAACCTACACCCAGACCCCGGGAGGATCCAGAAAGCAGGCTCCTCAATATGGTAGCTTGTACTACTATTGGGTAAAGTTCGAGGAACCCTCAAGGCGGATCTAATTTCTGGACCCACTAAATCCTAAACCCTTAAACCCTGAACCCTAAGCCCTAAGCCCTAGATCCTAAACTCCGAACTCTAAACCCAAAACCCTAAACCAACCGAGACACATCTCCGATTATGGCGTTTAGGGTCTAAACTCCCTAAAGGGAATTACAGAGGGTTGAGGATTTAGGGTCTAAACTCCTTACAAGAGGAAACACGGGGATATATGGGAATTATTCAGGGCCTGAACTCCTTGAAAGGGGGTTATATAAAGATTATAATTACAATATTTAGGAGTATTATAAGGGTTACTAAGAAGGGTACAAAGAGCTTAGACTCTAGCTCACCTGGAGGTGTAGTTGGAGAGCCAATGCTTATTGCTTAAAATCTATATAGTGTTTTTTAGTCTTGGGGTTGAAGGTTTAAGGCTTAGAGCTTGAGGTTTAGGGTTTTTGTTTTAGGGTTTATGCAGCTTAAGAGAGGGGCTGAAGGTTTAGGGTTTACGGCGTGGGGTTGAGGGCCTGTGGTTTTGAGGTTAAGCAAGGGCTTGGAAAGGTCGCTGCTATCAGGGTTCTTTCCGACCCCTGGCCCTTGACGGCATTATCATCTTTTGGTTCCTCGACTACCTCGACTATTTGACGACCATGATGCTGGGTGGTTGCTGGGATTAGCTTGAGCGCGAAATCCATGGCAGGAAGTATTGCAGGGGCGAGGCCCCACAACCTGCGCGGCACTATGCTGGCCATGCAGAGTCACAAAATGATTGCCACAATCAGCGTAAGGGCCCGGAAGGAAAGAGACCAACAGGTTTCAGACCTTCGCACTTGGCATGCCAAGAACGCCAGGTGCTCACCATAGTTGTTGCGCGCTGTAAGAGTGAAAGGGGCAGATTATACTAGGGTTGTATAGGAATACTAAACCCTAAACCCTAAACCCTACAGACTAGGTAGTACCAGTAGTAGTTCCTCCAACTCCTTTAGTACCCATGCTCCGTGGGCCCGTCAAGAACTGCAAAGAAGGATTCCTGAGCGTCTCGAGACGGTCCTCTGTAATTCCTGAGGGTGACTCCCATAACATCCATAAATGGCAATTTCCCCAAAAAAGGGGACTCTAACACGGACCCCAAAATACTATAATCCTTATTGTGGGGACCCAGAGTAAGGTACCCCTAATTTTGGGAAACCCATAAATCTTCCCATATCCCTGATGCTCTTTTTGTAAGGGCTTCCCATCTCGAGACACTCACACGCCCTAAACCTAAACCTCAATCGCTAAGCCGTAAACTCACGGGTTCCGCTACTACCCCGCTCTATACGACTCCCCCTAGGTTCCACCCTTAATTAGGGTTACTTAAGGATAAGTAGGCCGGAGTAAGTTAAGTAAGGGAAACTTGGGGGTTGGCGGGGGCTTAGTAGGGGGGGGGTTAGTAGGGCAGCCCATGATAGAGCCTAAACGCGAAGCCCTGAAACCTGCACCTTACTGTATAGATTCAAATTCCTTCTCAGCAGCGCTTTTGCTTTTTACAGACTCCCACTCGAAATCCTTAAGCCTAAACCCGAATTAAACCCCGAGCCCTATTCAATGTAAGCTCCTTATCAGCAACTTTTTAAGAAGCCCCCATTCAGCCTATACTATTGGGGTTTATCTGAGGTCTACCGTCATGATTCCTTCCATTATTCTTTGCCACCCAGAGGTAAGTTGAATTCACTGAAGCCCCGTATTGTAGTTTCCGTTGTGTATTCCACTCTCCATTTCCTCTTATGCCTCCGTATAATCCCTAAACCCTAGACCTTAAACCCCAAACCCTGAACCCCAAACCCTAAACCCTGAGCCCCAAACCCTAACCCCCAAACCCTAAACCCTAGACCCTAATCCCTAAACCCTACTGTAGACCCTAAACCCTAAACTGTAACCCTTGAAGAGCACAGGGTGCCGGCCTGCAAGTGCTTCCATCTTCATCTCTTCCTCCAGCGCGCTGAACCTCAGAGTGGCCAATGCTCCGATCGCTTCACAAGATGCCTGTGAGGTTCAAATTGCCATCTGAGGGTTTCCCGGAGGGGTCCCATCACAAGGATTACAGCATTTAAGGGTCTAAAAATTACCAGTATAGCAACATCCTGGTTGTTTTCATTCGGTGCTGGTACCAAGGGCCAACGTGAGCCGACCAAACGACGGTCACACTCTCATTAAGCACTTGGACCCGCGCGTCCCTTTGCCCTACCAAGTTCTGCTAGCTCTACATCAATCTTGGGGTCCTCTATTTATGGAAACGATCATCCATCATCAGCATGAGAAGCTCGACTGCTCCATAGCTCTTCGCTCGTTGAGCATTGGGGAGTTATGAGGGCTTCCGGCTGATAAGGGATCCATGTAGTGTGCCCAGAGTGTGCAACGTGTGTAGGGTCTAGAACCTTTGACAGGCCTCCCGGCAAATCAAGCGCATGATAGTCAATGCTTAGATGTGGCTCTGTCCGTTCCCAATTGTGTTGTCTGCATGATAAGACGTGTGATCTTGAAGATGATCACGTTTTCGTACCGCCGATGTTAGCGCGGCATTGGCTCTACTACAGTCACAAGGTTGACTTTGGCTTTGTGGTATAGTTGCACATTGCTTGGTGATGTTGACTGCATGGCAGCATAGTGGGAACGGATCCTGAACGCAGCTAACTGACTAGGACAAGCTGAAGGCCGCGGACTTCTGAATTTGCTGCTTGAGGCTCCCATTCACGCATTTTGACGATTCCCACATCCCAGTCTCAGTATCCAGCTCAGCTTCAAAGGATGACTCATCGAAGCCGTCAGGCACCGCATATGACGTAGAGATGGCCTAGGCGACAAATGTGCATAGACGAGTCTGTGCTGGAAGCCCATCAGGCCTCATTGATGTCAGCGATTTCGTCGTTCAAATCTGCCATGTTGTCCATCAGCTTTTCCTCAGTACAGCCGACCGCTGATCACAGGGGTGCAGATACGCGGATCTAGCCACACCCTCTCAACTCGTTTAGGATCTCACGATGTCCATAACGCCGCCGATCTGTTCATAGCGCTCTTTCCTTGGCGATGCTAGCACTTCAAACACTACAGCTCTTGGGAGTAATGTAATTTCAAGCGGAAACAAGCATGCCAGGCGCTCAAGTCTTGATGACCCACTTTCATGGCCTCAACAGTCATGATGTTGATCTCGGCCTGCCCACGCAAAGACTACCTACACAGAAGGTGCATATCATGGGGGATGGCCCTTTCGAACCTTTGCATGATATGAGGCTAGACAGATTAAGTCGTGTTTGAGCTAGGCGAGGCATGGTAAACCGCTACAAGGACTCTCCATATCACGAGTTTGTGGGCAATGCCAGCCAGGGCGAGCATGCATATTTTCAATGGACCAGGAATTGTAATGTCTTGAACTCTCAAGGTAACATGGCTTCTGAAACTAGGGCATCTTCACCAATGACAGGCCCTCTGCAAGTAGGAAATTGACTTCTTGCAGCTAATACCACAGGCCATGAATGCACTGCACACTGCACATAGCTGCTTCTTGTTAGGCAGTTGAAAGTGCGGGACCTGCTCCTGTGCACCGGCAAGCGAGTCCACATTGAACTGCGTTCCCAGGATTTGGTCGCGCTGCTGCTCGTACATCTTCTTCCTCCCAAGATCAAATGTTTTCTCCAAAGGCAGATTCATTGAAATCGCAAAGAAAAACATAACTTCTTGCCCGTGTGGCCTCTTCATGCACTGCAGAGCCAGCTGCTTCTGCTGTGCCGAAGCTTTCCCGCCGACATATCTCCGAAGATCCTGCGGATGCTACATCTTGGGACATGCCAAAGACCTCGGGCTCACCTGACGCTTAAGCAGGTTCTTCTTGTTCTGCTTTTATAGGCTTTGCTCGCCCCCCTCGAGGCATTAAGCGGCTTCATCTCTTTCTCATAACACATTGCATGAAAAGCGGTGGGACGCATCCAGAGATGTGAATGTGAGGATTGTATACTGATGTTTGATGGCATTCGGTTTCTTGCAATGCTCCTCATCACACTTGGCAATCTTCTTTTCAAGATCGGTGACCTCATGCAGCAATGCTGGTCTGCAGTTGTTGAATGACAGCCTGCCTACTGACATAGACAAAACGTCTGGATCCGGACCCGTGAATCGATCCTCTGCGACGTCTCAGAGAGACTTGCCGCCGGTCCTGCTGGTGCTGGGGCCTCATTCAAGCGATCTGTTCACAGCTAGCTTCAGAAGCAAAGTGCTTTTGAGAGTGTTCTTGTCTGACATGTGCAATCTTCTGAGTAGCTAACAGGCTTCGGTGCCCCAAAAAGGCGCTTCATCGCAGCAAGCAGAAAGAGTGCACTGCCCTCTGTTTTTCTTGTGTGTACCTTTGCTGCTAGACTGCAGTTTGACATTTGCAAGACTGGATCCTTCTGGGTCTCCCATGGCGGGCTACAAAGGCTGATTCACGTAGACGTTCTGTTGGATGTTGAGATAAGCTGGCTGCTGGTGCAGGAATGGCGTTTGACTGGCGGCATAGGGGAGACAAGAAAGCGTCACCTACGCCATAACGGTTCAAACTGTTTAAATGCTACTCCTGTGCATAGCTCAGTCCTAGTCCTAATGCTACTTGCATCATGCATGCAAATTCACAGCAAGCTGCCTGTACAAGACGGGAACTGCACATCCTCGAAAACTGGCCTGCCGAATTGCTTTGCCCTTGTTGGCGAAGTTTTCTGGACTCTTGCCAGAAACAAAGCAGCAGCCCTGTGCGGCTAGGCATCACGATCGGCCGAACACATAGTGTCCAGGCACGAGGTCACGAGGATGATTTTCCAAAACTTCCTTTGGAAAGGTTGGTATGCTGGCACCTTCGCAACCTGTGAGAGCCATCAGGGCTCACCCAACCCAAGTGGGTTCGGCACAGCATCCACATCATCTAAGTTGTTTCGCGGCAGATCTTCCTGTGGTCTAGGGTCAGTCTCTTCATTCGGCTCCTCCACGCGCGTCATGTACAAGAAGCCGTAGATGATTACGAAGGATGGAATGCTGACCTATCTCATAACGGGAATCAAGCGCAAAAGAAAATAGAAAATTAGATGGAAACTGGCTCATATTACAGGCGATTGAAGACGCATGCTTTAATATGGCACGATGCATGCACAGGCTGAGCTAGCCTGTACAGCAAGGTGCAGATGTTGGGGGCGGCAAACGGTGCAGGCAAGGCGCAACGCTCATCATACTGCCATTCAAGATGATCAAGATTCCCATGAAGTCATCCGGCTGGCTTCTAAAAAACACCCACCTTGCTTCAAACATCATAAGTGACAGAAGAAGGCCCAGCAATACGGAGGCGAGCCATGGTTCCCAGATGTGAATGATCTCATGGAGTGGTGTCAGTCTTGCCGCCAGCAAGGCCACAACCTCGGTCACGCAAGGAGCAAGGATCTAAGCTTGGGTCCGCATCTACACTGCATGGGCTATAGGGACATATTGGCATATTGGGGTACATAGGGTGTAGGTGTTCATTGGGGACTCCTCTTTCCTCGTTTCGAGCAGTCGGAATGCCTTTAGGAACAAGGCGAAAGTAACAGAAATCAAGCAGCAGCCCATCACCCGTCACCCTCGTCAAAGCCCTTGAAGAACGACACGGCAAGCAGCAAACGCAAGGGTCTTTTTGGGTGGCTTTGGGATGCAATGCCAAGCAACTGATGCCGTGAACCAGCCAGTGGCGAGTGCAGCCGGGACAGCTCGCTGGGAAAGGTACTTGAAGTCATCGCGCGTCAGCAAACCACACATCATAGACGCAACGCCCATTGCTATACACGTCATGCAAGCAAGTTCCAGGTGCAGAAGTGTTGCGAAGAGAGACTCGGTCAAACTCCAGAGCACTGCCGCAACACATGTCATCACCTGGACAAGCCATGATTCTTGACTTGCTACCTGATTGATGAGACTAGACCGAGTACGGCGCGGACATCAAGAGATAGTTGTACGGGAAATTGTTTCGGATGAGCGATAACTGCATGATCATTACCATGTCGGTGAAGCTCAACAAGTAGTAGAATCCCTGCACCAGGCTGCGAAAAATGGCATCAGCATCAACAGGGTGCAGCTGCCAAACGTACCTCGACCGCGAGCGATTTTTGCACGGGCCGCCCTCCCTGAGCTGCGGCAATTCATTACACTGAAAGCTCTGTAGGCATCAACATGGAATAGAAGGGACATGCTAGGGCCCTCGCCCAGGCAAACTGGCGAAGCAGCACCATAATCGCCAGGCAGACTGCTTGCCTCACATGCACTTGGCAGCCACATCTCCCAGCAAGCTGAAACCCATATCGGCAGAGTAGCTGTAGCGCGAGAAGGGCGAAGATTTTGACCTCCGAGCTTCTTCTTGATCATGCCAACATGATCATAGAAGAGGAAACAAGTGAGGCTGAGGCCCGAAAGGCTCGCTGCACATAAGTGGGCACAGGTTTGCCCACCTCATGTGAACTAACAATTCTGCCCTCTATGAAATCAATGCTGCAGGCCTGCGGAAAGCGCCATGTGGAAAACCGACTCCTGTCAGAGCATGCAAGCATTTGCAGCTGCAGAAAATATAGACAGCTGTACAGCCCTACAGTCTGCTTGAACGAGCTTGAATGCGCGCGCCTGATTGTGGAGCCTGCACAATGCACAAAGTGGTATCAGCCGGCGATCAAAGGCTTACATGATGGCAAAAGAACAAGAACAACATGCCATGGTACCATCGAGAATGCAGCTTTCTTCCAACACTGTTGCTACTCCGAAGCGGCAGGCACGTAGTGGCAGGTCCACATTGACAGCAAGGGCAGGAATTGTTTGCAGAAGACGGGCCGGTCCAATTGTCTGCCAAGGGATGTGTGAATTCAACGTTTATTCAATTTCAAGCTGTCTTGCACGGTCAGACCAACAAATTACCAAGAGGAAGAAGTTCCTGCAGTGTCGTTCCAGACCACTGTCTCCCTTGGAAGTGGACAGCTGACATTGACGGGGTTCAATGTGTCTACAGCTAGCCCACCTCGAACCGTCTCCCGGTGGTGAGAATTAGCCACCTCCGATCGGAACCCAGCAAACATCTGCTCTTGTACACGTATTGGCGAAAAACACGCATGCCTGCGGCGTGTCTAGTGCCGTCTGGACCTCAAAAAAGCTCAAGTCATGCATCACATCTCACCTCACAGCTAGGCCCCTGACATCTTGTGAAGGCAGTTGAGGCTCCGCAATTTCGGCCATTCGCGCCTGCCAGCGTTCGAGTGACTTGTCCACGGCCGAATCACTAGGGGAGCATGACAGGTACCCGCTGCAATGCTTGGTAGCTACGTGCCGATGAAGACCTAGTGACACCTGATTCATGACCACCATCTTGTCACCGCGTCCTATGCTCAAAGTACGAACCAACACATGGCAACGGCTGCCCGACTTTTGATTGCAAAATTTCCAGTTTCCTTCAGCTCCTTCCTCACGCGATCAAATTTGATACTTGATCGGCACCAAGACAACGCTGCAGAACAACCGCACATTGCCAGTATCCCAAACCAGCATAGAAGTGCTCAGAATCACGTTTGCCTGATGTCTCATCTGGCATGGGTCAACATCCACAAGTGTGCCCATCTCTTCCAGACAACGTCGCACGCGTACATCATGATGGCATTGCAGACCCATGGGCAACAACAAGCCTCCGTCTCTGCCATCATAGACGGGGAGTAGCTGTGCAACAAAATTGGTTTTGGGCCAAATGCCTGGAATGGAGCAGCTGTTGGCCACATATGTGGAAGAATGAGCGCAGACACAGAGAAAGCTATTCAATTGCTGTGGTTTTTGGCTAACCTGCTCAAGAGGAAAGCGGTGCGTTAACGAGCCGGCTGCTCGGCAGTGGCGCACGTTCAGTCGAGGCTTGGATGCGGTTAAACGGGTTTCCCAGAATTAGGAGTACCTTTTGGGGTCCTCACAACAAGGATTAGCATACACTTTTGGTATCTTTTGGGTCTACATTGGGGTCCCGGTATCTACCAAATATTCAGAAGCTTTACAGAAAATTACACCATGTTACACCTTGCACGACCTCAACCTGATGAATGTGCGCGCTAAGGTGAAACCTTTTCTACAACGCTCCACACGCAGACTCAGAGCTTCGTCTTGGACGTTCTCTGATCTGCAGCTGTCTTTGGAGCTCTGCAGCTATCTAAACGGCGCGGCGAGATGAACAGTTTACGGCTACCCGGCATTCGGATCATGGAGAAACCAGGGCTTGGTCTCTTCAATGAATTGGAAGATGCTGTTTGCAACCTCATTCATGAAGCAAGGTCGATGAAGCTGGTAAAGGAGCAACAGAAGTGGCACCTCCAACTTGTCAGGGTTCTTGTCTGGATGCCAACGTAGCTGCAAGCACCTTTTGTTACACACAAACACATGCAAAATACGTCTCGAATTGTAAGTTGCGTGTACGGCCTCAGGGCTTTCTTTCGCTTGGCCACTTCCAGACCCTGCAAGTCTGTTCAGTAGCCAGGCCATTGCAGACGCATGCGCTTGTGCATGCTGCCCTTTCAAGAGTCAAAGGCCTGATTGACCATCGACTCCATCTCCTGCGCTTCGAGACGGTCCAATGGCTGCTCCCAAGCAAAGCAACATGCCTGCCTTGAGAACGGAACTCTTGATTTGATAGACCGCATGGTCTTCGAACGCGGCATCAAGCTTTGGAGGTGCCTAAAGGCTGGTCGAACCACTCCAGCAACTGGGAGCTGATCGTCAAAAGCAGACAGTGCAAAACGTTGAGGCAAACACCGGTCCCCGCGGTGGCACGTAACTTCCAGCTTGTTCACCGCTCTGGGCTCCCTTGCGGTCATGGGAGTTTCACCTATCTATCATCAAATCATCCGAGCACCCCATGGCCCAACCTTCTGCTTCTGGCTGCCCGACCTGAACCAACCCTTCCTTTTGCAGGGGACTTTGTAGTTGATGCTTGGCCGCCAACTTATTCTGCTTGCCGGCATCCGCATTTGCCTTGGAGAGGGCAAGGCAAGCCGCGCAATGAAAAAAAGTCCGTGGACAAGGCTCTTACCCCACCAGTTGCTGAAGCTCCTGCAGCTCCTGCCTGCTGGGAGTACCAGGCCGTGTACTGCTGGTACCACCTCAGGGCCAGAACTGCTTGGCAGTCACCACTTGCATTCAAGCTTGTGGGCCCGGCTGCTGCCATTGCTCATGCTGTTTCTTGTTATCCTGCGAATCCAAGGACAGCTTTGCACGGCAAACATCAAGGAACAGCCGATCGATCGAGTAATGGAATGGTGTTTGCTGGATGGCTCCTCCTCCTGCTTCCTCAGATCTGCAAACGGGTCGTCCTCACAATGACACCCGCTATCAGCACTGCATCCACATCGTCTAGCATGGGTCGACAAATCACTGTAAAATCAAATGAGCAGGCGGCTAAATTCAAAGGCTCTGGGGCGGAAATGAGATAAGAGGTATCTCTTTCGGGATTAGGTATCGCTTTTTCAGGGAACTTGGGGATATTGCTTTTGAGATTAAGTATCGTTTCCTCAGCTCTTTGCACTCATTTCCTCCTGCAGTACTGCCACGAGAGGCTACCATTTGGATGCTTGCTCACGCTCCCTTCCTGATTGTCAGCTCCCTGCGAGGTGGTACCTCGCAAGTGGGAACAAACTGGCAAGCAGCTTTCAAGGCCTCTGAGGTGCCAACCTTGCTGCGCAGCTGCAGCCTGAGCCTGTTGAACTCATCGGCTTACTATAACGGGCTCTTGACATGTCCATCTTATAAACATCTTGGCTCCGGGCGGGCTCACGGCAGGTTGCACCAGCTGGCAATGACCAAGCCTGCCAATTTTCTCGTAGCTTCTCATTCGGCCCTCTACAGTAACGTTTGCTCTACCATGCCGGCAACACAGTGTGATTCGTTCTCTCGTTGTGATAGTACACTTGTCCATCCGGTGTCTTGTAGCGAACCCAGTCAGTGGCTGGCTGTTGAGCTTGCTCTGGCTCCCTGGGGCGGTCCGCGTGTCCCGGGTGGCGCTGCTGCTCCTCGTAACGCTCCTGACGCTGCTTCTCGGCTTCTTCTCGCTGGCGCTGTGCCTCCTGCTGCTGCTGCCGCTGGGCCTCCTCCCTGTGTAGCTGGGCCTCTTGATGGTGCAGAAAGGCCTCTTGCTTCGCACGCTCCTGCTGAAGAGACACCTGCGTCACAGAGAAGCCAGATACCGAATGACACAGCCACGCGCTGAAGGCGTCCTTCGGTCCAGCCGCGGATGTTCCAGAATTCGAGGGAATGCCAGGCATGCCAGCCTTGGCAGGGACTCAGGCGAGCAGTAAACTTTAACCAACACAGCTGGTGTCTGGCTGGAACGAAGGGTGTCTCGCCAGCTGGAGCCCGACCAGGAGCTTCCTGGCCGCCAGCGGCACCGCTGCCAGTGCCGGAGGGCCTTTGTTCAAACGTCGTGCAAAGCCAGCATGAGTTCTTCACTCAGCGCTTGGCGCAACCCGATGATGATGATGATGATGATGATGATGATTGTGAATCCTGCAGGGTCTGGGCAAGGAAACCCCTTCACTTGTGCTCAATCATGTGCCGTCTTCAGCTCAGCGGTGGGAGGGTGGAGTTTGCTTGACCAACAAGGACAAAGGCGTTTTAAGGTTGTGGGACCGGGCTCCTAGGCAGAGTCCTAGGCAGCATATTCACATTGATAGCGGAGCCCGGTCCGTCACTAGTATTTTATTTCTAGTGTAAACGGGGTGATTCAGAGTCCTGGGGAAAAGGATCCTGAAGTGGGGTAAGAACTACCTGGTGTAGTGACTTGAGCCATGGGAACAGAAGCGGAGGGACCTCCGACAGGTGGACTCAGCCATCTTCCTTGGCAACAGGTTCCGAAGTTTACTCCTGGAGTGACGAATGTTGATGAGTACACCCAGCGCCTTAAGTTTCTGAAGGAGTTGTGGCCGGCAGAGCATGTTCAGCATCTGGCGCCGCGGGCGGCTTTGATGGTCGAAGGGGCGGCCTTCCACAAGATCAGCCGCATAGCGCCGGACAAGTTAAGGTCAGCCGACGGAGTGCAACTCTTGGTGGAGACTTTGGGAGGGTCCTGGGGCAAGACTGCAGTGGAGGAAAAGTATCACTACTTCGAGCAGGCCATGTTTGTGGTCTCCCAGAAAGCTGACGAGAGCAACGATTCGTACATCTCCAGGCATGATGCCGCTTTTGAGGAACTGTTGGCAAGAAAGGTGTCAATAGAGGAGATCAGGGCGTACATCCTTTTGCGACATTCCCAGCTGAGTCCGGAAGACAAGAAGAAGGTAGTTGTCGAGGCCAAGGGCGACCTCAAGTACCAGGACACCATTAAGTCGGTCAGGCTGCTGGGTTCCAAGTTCTTTACAGACTTTCAGCAAAGAGG